TTCTACAAAATTTTCATTTAATAAAATATGACATAAGACAGGTATAATTTTCAATTTAATTCTCATGATTAAGTACAATAAACTATATACATAAAAGGATATATTAATCAAATTAGTCTTCAAGGAATCAACTTATCAAAACCAAATAAAAAAAAATAAACATTTGAAACATATCAAGGTACCCAAAATATCAAATGCTATAAAACATTAATCAATGAAGAACAAATAAATATTGATACAAAATAACAACAACAATATTATCACAATTTATGCCACCAAAACAAATTTCAAATTTCAAATAAACATAGGCAAATATCATCATAAAAAGATTAATCAAACAACATTGATACCAGTTGTTCCTGATTATAGGTACATTCCGACTTATGTCAGCACAAAAGAGTTTAATCAAATATAGACAAATAAAATCACATTTTAAAATATAAATCAATTCTTAGCTACTCCACCGTGAAAAAGAATTCAACAACTCTTTTCAAACAAAATTTCAAAACAAACAATTTTTAACAATTAGCAAAATTTTGAAATTAATTTTCGTGGAGAGCTCATAGTTTATGTCCAAAAAACATCTAAACAATTTATTCCAAAAAAATAAACAATAAATATCAATCATCAATAATAATATTTCTCAAAACACAGTCTTGATAATATCAAACTTTAATATTTTAACAAATCACAAATCAATCAATTAGATAAACATCAACATTAAAAACCATTAAACCAATATTTGAATATTCAAGCAATATAGACAAATGTCAAAAAAATTCAATAATTTCCCAAGGCATGTAATTTGATATTTCAAATAATAAGCAATAAAGATTATAGATAAATTTAAAATAAATTCTCACAATATTTTCAAGAGCATTAATCACTCAAGGGCATTTAATCTAATCAATAGTAAAGTTCAAGAAACCAATTCAAACTTATTTCCATAAAGTATATTAAAACTATAATAATCTCAATAACAAAAGAATTAAGATACCAAATACGCGATTTTCCTTTGTTGTATTTCAAGCAAGCCATTGAGTTGCTCCATATAAATTAGTTTATTATTTTGAAGTCCAAGCAACCATTTACTCCTTGAAATGATACCTACAAAGAAAAAAGCTCAAACAAAAGATTTTGGTAGTTATTTCTTGGATCCTTCATTGATAGTGAGCAAGGATTTTAGAACTCATTCTAATTTAGTTCCAACATTCTTTGTATTTAATTTTGGCAAATAAGATGTATGAAATTTATGACAAATTTCGCCACCAGAATAACATACAACATTAGGCAATAATTTCTTTTCAACAAAATGATTTGGCATGGTGATTTTCTTACAGAAATTCTTCATTGATCATTTTTCAATTTAAAACAATTTGGTCTAATATGACATTTAACTCCACAAAAATGACATGTAGGTACAAATTTTGATTTTACATACATAGCATTTTCATGTCTAGGTACAAATTTAGTATTATGCACACATTTGGATTTTCCATGAACATGCTTACATACAAATTTAGATTTAAGCATAAAATTAATTTTAGCACAAGCATGTTTAGGCATAAATTTAACACTTGCATTGACATTTGAAATATTGGATTTGGACAAGTAACAAAAATAAGCTTTTATCTCCAGACTTGCCAGAACAAACAACATTATGTAATGATTTATCTTTCACAACAAATTTATGCACTCTATTTTTATTTGGAAAATTTTCTTTTGGAGAGATTGTATGAGTATATTTCAATTTAAAGACTTTTGACATTGTTCTCATCATCCGAATAAGTCATCAAGCACAAAGCAGTTTCTTCAAGTTTTTCCATTTTGATTTCATGGGATTTTTCTTGAGTTTTAGAATTATAATTCTCCTTCACATCAAATAAATCATTATTAGTATTAGAAGAATTTTCGACGCTAGAGATATTATCAAGAAAATACATGTGTTTCACCAATTCTTTCTCATATTGCTTAAGACCCATCTTGAAATTGAAAATAACCCATTTCTCTCTATTTCTCTAGTTGCTTAAGAGGCACCTTGAGAATGCTTTACCAAATTTGCAATTTCCACCACTTCATCAGATTTTCGATTTTCTGCCTTACAACAAGACTGACAAATTCGTCGCCAGATTGAAATGCATCGAGCGAAAACGATTGATACCATCGTTCCCAAAATCCCAATTCAACAGTCACAAAAAATTTGGGTATCCTCCATTGCAATCACTACGCAGAGCTTAAATGAGGAAGATGAAATTCCAAAAATAAAATATAAAAATTTGCAACAAATTGCAATAGTTACTGAGAAATAATAAAACAAAAATCTTGTGTTTGAATACTGAAATCATGAATATTTAGGTTGCAGGAAAGGGAAGAGAAATAAATAAACTATGAAAATTAAAAAAAGAGAAAAAAACAAGAATAATTCGCACTAATCTGTCGTCAATATTCTCCTCAGTCACTCTCTCAATCTCGATCTCAGTCTCGATCACTCTCTTGCTCTCGCTCACTCTCACTCTCACGATCTCTCGTTCTTGCTCACTCTCTCGATCTCGCTCTCGCTCACGCTCTCGATCTCGCTCTCCTCCCTCTCTCGATCTCGCTCTCGCTCTCGATCAGAATTGGATGCATAAAAGAACAAAAAGTTGAACGGGTTCTGAGTGGCAGTGGCAGGAGCGAGAAAAGAAAAGGCTAGTGGTCCATGCAGAGAGCAAGAGAGGCGGAGAGAGTGAGAGAGGCGCCGTGTTTTTGAGAGAGAGAGGGTGTGAGGAGGAGGGATGAAAGAGACGCTGGGCTGGGCGTGGGTTTTTAGAGAGAGAGATCAGCATAAAATAATTTTTTTAGATTAAATTTATGAGAAATTTTCGTTATGTTTCCTTGGAAATGAATCATTCTATGTGTACTGAGAAAATTGTCACTTTCTAAACAAATGATTTGGGGAGCTCCAATTTTCTCCTCCACGGGATCGATTTTATGGAGAAAATTGAAGAAAAAGAAAAATGAAATTCCTCAGATCTTGTCATGATTTTCTCCCACAATCGAGTCTCTCCTAAAAAAATGAAAAATAAAGTTCATCGTCCCTGAAATGGGAAGAGAGATAAGTACGGAATCATAGAGAGAGAAAACGTCGCATTGTTTCAAATAAGGAGGGAAATCTAAAAAATTAAGGGAGGGACCATAATGATAGGTTGACAATAGGATAATGTTTCCAAGAAGGTGAGTAAAAATCATTCTTGCATTCAGAAAATCCTATTGAGCCCAAAAACCCAAAGCAAAAATGAGGGGGTTCTTTGGTATAGGATTTGGAAACAATTTATTGTTTAAAAAAAAGATTGAAAACACCAAATATAGAGAAAACACGTTTGGTTAGGAAATATAATTGGATACGATCGCAATCTTTGGGATACAATCCAAATCTGGAGGCCAATAACATAAAAACACTGTTTTCTGTGTTTTCAATTTTGAAAACGCCATCAATTGTAAGATTTCCAAAATTTGTTTGGACATTGTATTTTTAATTTTTTTAATAAATTTTTTTATTATTTTTTTAGATAAGAAACTTTCTTTGGATATATCAAAAAAAGGAAGACAGACTAAAGGCTGGGTAGAGGAAACCCCACCTAAAAAACTAAACAACTGCTATCCAGTTGTGCATGAACATGGATAGGTTAAAATTACAAAAGAATTTACTATAATTGATGCAACACCAAAAGGTAGTGTGCTGTACATCCCTACAAAAGAGATCAAAAGTATTGGACTTATCTTCAAAAACCCGATAGTTTTTTTTTGAGCCAAATATGTCAAAGGAGGGCTCTAGAGGCACAACACCAGATAAACCTTGTTTTTTTAGGGAGGGTCCAATCTTCAATCTGTCTTGGGAAGCAAGTGGAGATCTCAAAAATATTTAGGAGGAAATGCCAAATCTGTGAAGCAAAAAGGCAGTGCTGAAACATGTGATCCATGTTCTCGCTGTGCTTCATACAAAGAGTGCAGACCGAGCCTTAAATTTCCACACTGCTGAAATAAGAGGAGACCTCAAAGAGGGGCTGCAATCCACCAAATTCAAAAAGGCCGAACGAGTGGAAAACCGACCATTTTTGTCTATGGACCATACTACTCTATCCTCACCTTCCCCCACCCGCACCACATCAATTTCTTGAATGAGCCCCATCCAGCTCTCAACCTCCCATTCGAAAAGGCCTCTACGGAGTCCAATATCCCAGTCATTTTCATTTATGTTCCAACACTCGGCTACCGTTGCCTCCTTTTTTGAGGAAAGATTGAACATGGCGGGGACAAGTTTTGGAGAGAATCATTCCCAATCCATTTGTCTGACCAGAATTTAACTCTACTTCCCATTCTCACCTTGAAATCAAGGAACTTGAAAAAGAAGGTGCTGTTTTTAATAAAAATTTATTAATCTTATTTTCTTTAGATAAATTTTGATATAATTTATTTTAATATTTAAATAAGCTCTAATTTTTATATAATTTTATTTTGTTGTTTAAATTTCTCACTTGGCATATAATGACTTTTTATTTTTTAAATAAAATATTTTACTTAAATTTTAAATTATTTAAAAAAAATACCAACCTCAAAATGTTGCATGGATTAGGATTATAGTTATTATTTTATGTAGCAAGGACTCTATCCTACGTAAAAGGATGAACTCATTTTATTTTCAATAAAATAAAAAACAATATTATAAATTATAATATATTATATTATACATTTTATGATATTTTTAATTATATAACCAATTAAATTTTATAATTCAAATATAATAATAATTTATTTATAAATTTTTAAATCAAATTAGATAATAGATCATTGAATTTCCTACTATTGATATTTTCAGTGCACCAGCATCCTAAAATTTCACCGAAGATTACCAGAGTTGTAAAATTACCAGAATGTCCTTACCTTGAACAGAAAAGTAAAAATTGGATTCTGAGGGGACAAAACTCGAGCGTGTGGGGACAATGCGGAGCGAAACGGTCCGTCTTCTTCCACTCCGACTCTTTGGCGCTTAATTCCCCTGGTTTAGTTCTGTATATATTATCCCTGTGAGCTTGCGCTTTTCTTCTTTACATGCTATTTTCTCTCTCTCTTCTTGTCAATGAAATCAGTATTACAATTGCAATTGCAATTGGGGTTTAGGAGTTTCTTGAATCCCTCGAGGTTTGCCCTTACTCCCGAATGCTTTTGCCCTTTTTATTTGATTTTCTTTAGCGCTTCCCTTCATCTTTCTTTGCTGATAAATTAATGGAGAAGGTGAAAGCATAAGTTCAAAATTGCTTGGAAAGAGTGAGCTCGTTTCCTTTGTTTCCAACATGAAGATGGTTTTATTACTAGAACTAGTAGTAGTTCAATGTCATTCAGCTGAACTAACTCGGGTGCTCTGTAGCGTTGCAGTGAATCTGTGCAGGTGGAGAGTTGCAACATTGGTAACTTTTCGGACGAACTCAATGGCGTCGAATCGGTCCTCTGTAAGTTTATCCACACAGAATGGGAAAAGGAAAGATAGAAATTCTGATGAGATCGTCGTCGAGGTTGTGGAATGATTTTGATTTTAAGAATATTTCACTCACCTTATATGCCTAAAGTCTCTTCTTTATTTTGATTCATGTGTTTCACGTATAGGAAAATGACAGTAAAGTGGACATTCAAAGTTTCAAGGATGACCCGTCGAGAATTGAGGCTATGACGGTCCAGGAATTGAGAATGACATTAAGGTAATTTATGAGAACTTTATCTTTGAACTAACACGTTTTGATGTGCCCACCCATGGAGAATTCTTCATTAGATTTTCAATTTGACTATTGAGCTTGGAGTTATATGTGCTGCATTGTCTCAGCACAAGTGAATAGAGTTCTAAATTTAGATTGTACTAGAGGTCTAACTTCTAACTAACTTTCTTATTTATCCTTGTTGCTCACATTTTGCAGAAGCGTAGGTATTTTGGCCAAAGGACGGAAACACGAGCTTGTAACTGCACTGCAGGGATTTGTGGAGAAGAAAACAATTGGTATAAATATTTATTTTTAAAGACTGCATTTTCATTCTTCAAAATTGTAGCACACTACTACTCCATGTGACTTGACTAGAGTAGACATCATCCAAGATGGAGAAAACATCGTCACCCTTATTGCTGGCACTAATCAATACATATATACACTTTGAGTTAATTTTGAAGTTGAATTCATATGGATCTCATGTGCATGTCCAGTATTAGTTCTCAAGTTATACATCAACAATCCTCCATTTCTATTGAAGTGTTGAATAAATGAGAAGGCTCAGAATTTATCTGATTTAGGTGGTGTTATTGATGCAGTAGAAGATTTTGGAGTGCAACAAACTAAGAGAAACTCAAATGTATCACCTTCTGAAGGTGAAACTGTGAAAGTTGAAACCAAAACCTTAACATCAAAGGAGTCAGTCAAATCTGACGAGGTTTCAAGTTGTGCAACAAGTAATGATATCTATCCTTTGAACACCTCTATCGTTCTTTGGTATTGTTTTTGCCCTTCTAATCCTAAGACACTTGGCACTCTAAGTACTTTCTTGTTTCTTACATAAATGACATCTTTGTAGATAGTGAGCCATCTAGAACAAAGAGAAAAGTATCCTCAGAAGTTGTTAGCCGCACTGTAAAGCATGGGGATGGAGTAGAGGTGATGCAAAATGAACCATGGACTGTTCTTGCTCATAAGAAACCTCAAAAAGGTTGGATCCCATATAACCCTAGAACCATGAGGCCTTCACCTCTTTCCAAGGATACAAAATCTTTGAAAATTTTATCTTGGAACGTCAATGGTTTAAGAGCATTACTTAAGCTAGGGGGATTTTCAGCGTTGGGACTAGCTGAAAGGGAAGCTTTTGATATACTGTGCTTACAAGAGACCAAATTGCAGGCAAGTAGAATAATTTCTTTTTCATTTCTACATAGAGGAATTTCGATATCTGACATTTTTTTTGCATGGAATCCTTTCCCAACATAAAATGAATGACGCTTTTATATTTAGAACATTGAATTATTTTTCTTATTAAAAAACATTGCATTGTTTCTACTATATCTCATAATTTGTTCAATTGCTTACCATTTCCTTTAGATGTTGTGCATCCCATCCAAATCTTTAAAGGAGGAAATTTAATAGCTTTATTCCTGTACATCTGTGAATCTTTTCTGAATTACAAAAAGAATTTTCTAACTTGCACCGTGTGACTGCTGTATACAAAATAAGATCAAATGTAGTTCTTCTCCTTTCTACTAAAGGTTCTATTGTTTCTCTACAGTTAAGTAGTACACTGTACATAGGAAGTTTCTAATCAATTTAGCTACAAGGATTTTGATTGCCCTTCAAAGGGACGAGTCGTCAAGGTAGTTTGAAAATTAGCCACAATCAAGTTGACTTCTTTTATCCAGTGATATGGAGATTGGTGATAAGTCAGGGAATAATTTGTCTTACCATAGATAATTTATATACTATCTTATTTTTATTTAGGATATTGTAGATAATTGGTGGCTATTAGTTTAATACTTACAATGAAATCTCCACACCTGATGTCACATAAGAAAAATTTAAATGGGTAGAATACAGTTTTGTTCCTTGGAGTTTGAGTTTGGTGTCTATTTTGTTCTTGAAGTTTCAAAAAGGATACTTGAGGCCCTAAGGATTGGAGAAGGGTTCTAAATGATCCTTGGACCGCTAGTTGACTAACGAAGAAGTGATGTGGCAGTTAAATTGTTGACTCAGTAAATTATTTTATATTCATATTGGGCTTTTGTGTCGTATCCTTTCGTCCTTCCCTTCTCTCCTCATCTAGCCGCTAGCGTTGTTCATCTGCGGCCACCTACTGTGCCGACCACTTCTTCGTCTGCGCACTAACATCTCTCCCTTGCCGCCTCCTTTTTGTCGCCAGTCACTGATCTCCTTTGCGCCTCCCTTGTTGTCGCTCACCACTTTTACACATTATTGCTTCTGCTGTTGCTACTCTTTGTCGCCTTCGCCGCTGCTACTCACCATTGCCTCCACCATTGCTACTTGCTATTGCCTCCGTCGTGATTACTTGCCGTGGCTGCCTCCCTACCATTTGACTTTCAGATCTCGGTTTTCATCTTTGGAACAAGGATTTGAAGGGAATGAAGGTCCCTTTGTTTTCCAAATCTGTAAGTTAGGAGGTGGCGGTGATGGAAGTGATCAACGACCGACGACAAGAAGGCGGCGGGATGGTGGAGCATAGTAAAAAGTAGGTGGTTGGCAATGGCTGATTGGATTTGGGTGGCGTTGGCCTGGAAGAGGGAAAGAGAGGAAGGGGAAAGAGAGATGCCATATAAGCCCTATATGAATATAAAAATAATATAATTTACTGAGTGAGCAAGCCTAGTCAACAATTTAATCACCACATTACTCTATATTTCTTTTTCATTTTGTTTTTTTAGATTGTATCTTTTTATTTTTTGCTATTTACTTTTTTTCACTCCCTTGGGAGTTTGTATCTTTGAACATTTTAGGTTCTTTTTCATTTTATCAATGAAAATTTCGTTTCTTATTAAAAAAAAATCACTTCTATGTTAATCAATTAACGGTCTAGAGACTATTTAGAATCATTTTCCAAATCTCGGAGACTTTAAAAAAAAATCACTTCTATGTTAATCAATTAACGGTCTAGAGACTATTTAGAATCATTTTTCAAATCTCGGAGACTAAAGTGTACAGGTTAAAGCATCAGGGACTAAATAGACACCAAACTCAAACCTCAAGGGCTAAATACGTATTTTACGCAATTTAAATATTCAGAAGTTCTATTAAAAAAGTATTGCAACGTACCAATACTTCAAAGCTTAGGCCCTGCTTATATGAGCAACGTGGTTGTATAAAGCAGAAAATTTTATGCAAATAATTTGGTATTTTTAATCAGATGGTATATACTAGAGTCAGTACTTGGATGCAAAACTTTTCAAGTAGATGCTTATGACAAGAATAAGTTGTCATTTTTTCACGTATGTAAGGAGGACAATTATTTAGCAGGGCAGTTAGGGAAATTATATCTGTTTTAGTTGTTGTGACTCAGCAAATCCCATATTAGAAAGGATGGAAGCAAGGAATTGCTCCTCAATTCCAATTTTCTCTCCTTATTTATTAAGCATCCATAGATGTAAGATATCTACTTACAATATGATATTCAAAAGTTGTCAACACAAAACAAACTTACAGCCCTAGGGCAAACCAGAGTTTCTCAGCCATTCGAGAGGGCTGGAGCTCTCCTTCCTAAGTCAAAGACTTACAAAATGACAAAAGATATCCAAAACAAGCTAAACCTCTATCTTATAACCAACCTACCTGTACAGCCCCTTTCCTAACTGTCATTTGGGGGTGAATTTCCCTCTCTACCCCTTCTCACGTAAGTATTTACAATGGGAGGCCTCACAATAGATTGTTGATATCCTAGTTTTTCTATGGGTGAAATATCCATTCATAGTATGGAAAGATATGCAAAATTTTACGGTAATTATTCAACCCTAAAAGGATTTGAGATTCATTATGCTGCTTCCTGGTATGTGCTTTCAAAAGAATTTAGGAACTTCTCATCTAATATTAATTCTTGTTTGGATGCTTTTATGAAATTTTTTTTTGATATTACATTATTTGGTTTTATTTGCGTGGAAAGGTTTCTATGTAATGCTCTTGGGTGTATCCATTATATCTATATCTAGTAAATGAATGTCAGATGGGATCTAATCATAAAACTATTTATAGCTTTCACCCTATCAATGAAAAGTTTTTTTTCTTCTCAAAGAAAAAGTAATTATTCAACTCTAATTTATCCGCAAGGTGCAAATAGCTTGAAAGGTTCTTTATGACTTTCTAGCCAATGCATTAAAGTATTATACGGTTGCTTCAACCAGTAAGCATAATTTGAAAAGAATTGGGATGCAGCTTTCTTGGCATATTGTTATTTATGGATTGAACCTTACCATTATTGTATTTTTCCTTGAAGTACCACATAATAGACATTATGATGATCTAAATTTCATGTAAACCAAATTCTTTTGAGTATGAACTAGAGCAGCTACCATGTGAAAATGGATAGTAATGATCTTTATTTTAACCAAATTCTTCTAAAGTTCGGTGCAGAAAACAGAAATCAGTTTACTATGTAAGAAATGAGGTCAACATATTTATGTCCAGTTTCTTGTCATGCTGAGCAGACTCTTTAGCAAGCAAGTTTCTTCTATGTGCTTTTAACTTCAACATCCTTTTGAGCTCTCTGAATGGTCCAAGACTCATTGTAATCCTGAATGTCAACTTATAAGGTAAGTTGTCATTGTCCTCATTTTCATTTGTAAGATTGAAATCTGGTGCCCTACAAAAAAGCCCTTGAATAGCAATTTTCCCCAGGTGCTTGCCTTGCAAGTTAGACAATGAATCACAGAGCCATACTTTCATCACTTGTCCTTTCTTATAGAATTTGGAGGCTTATTCTCACTGCTTTCGGTTGGTATGTGGCTATTCCTAACAATATTTATGCATAGTTGTCCTTTCACTGGCCACCCTTTCCATCAAGCTAGACTCTTTGGCTTCATTCCAACAGATAGGGGTGCAAGAAAAACCCGACCAAACCGATTGGCAGTTTGGTTTTTGGTGACAATTCAGCCAACATTACAAATTGAATATAATCGGTCGAAGTTGGTTTCAGTTTGGTAAATTGAGTAAAAATCGACCTAACTGATTGAGGCTTGTTTTGTCTAAAAACCCCATCTATTAGCACCGAAGCCCTGAAGTCCATATACAGGAAAAACTTAAAAGCCCGTAAAACTTAAAAGCCCATAAAAGCCCAGCCTGACATCTTTTCCCATTCCAACACCTGCCATATTTAATAAAAAGAGTTTTAACTTATTGCAGAAAGAACTCAGGAGTCAGGAAGGTAGGAAAATGTAGACGTATGACGTGAATGGCGAAGCAAATGCTGAATAGAAGCCTTTGTCTTTGAATGATGATCTTCGTCTCCCTTTGACCGACTAGTCAGCAGCCGCAAGCAATAAGGTAAAAACTAAAAATGCTTTTTTATTTTTTATTTTTCAAGAAGAAGATAAACTGTTTTCATAACACTTCATTATATCTATTTTAATTTTGGGCAAAATACACTTTTGGTCTCTGAGATTTGGAGTAGGTGTTTATTTGGTCTTTGGAGTTTCAGAAGGAACACTTTTGGTCCATGAGGTTTGATAAATGGCTCTAAATGGTCCTGTACCTATTTGACCGTTAGTTGACTGACAATAAAATGACGTGGTTTCGTTGATTGTATTTGCTAATTTGGCACAATATATTAATTTAATAATATATTTGTGGGATCTCTCTTTCCCTTTTCTCTTCCTCTTTCCTTCTCCCCCATCTTTGGCGAATGTTGCCGCCGTCGCTGGCCATTTCCATCCTTGCCTGCCATTGCTGCGTTGATGTTGCCGTTGCCTTCGCCTTCGCCCTTCCCTCGAGTAAACACAATCCAATAAACCCCAAAACCATCTCTCGTTAAATTCCTACCCATTAACAAGAAGAAAAATAGAGAGAGCTAAATCTCGCACGTAGAGCGGTAATCCGACCTTTGAATAGAAGATTTGGGTTTTTTGTTCTAGCTTAGTATAAGGATTTTTGTGCAAGGGCGACGACTCGGTTCAATGAGGGCGATGGCGACGAAGTGGTGGTGATAGCGGGTGGCTCACTTTTGGCTTTCCAAGCCTGTTGCTTTTGGGCTTTTTCAAGCGTGTTCCATATCCAACAAGGAAGAAGTGTGCTTTGGCGAGGGCGATGATGTGCCGGAGAAGGTGATGACAACAACAACGAGGCAATAGGTGGCAAGGGAGGATAAAACGGTTGGCGACGGTGGCAGCCACATTTGCCAGAGATGGGGGAGA